TCCCGGGTTGGGCTCGCCTGGCGCCGTGGCCGGCCTTCTTTGGAGGGTTGCCGCTGCCCCCCAATTTGGCTACGGCGCCGCCCGCCCGCCGGGTTATCGGGCGGATTGTGGGGCGGCGCGCGTCTCCGTTTGTGTGCGAAGAGAAGCTTGTGGAAAAAGTGTGCGGTGGGCGCGGTTCCTTTATTTTACTTGTTTCTGCCGCTTTCATGTCTTCGTCGCTCGGCGACGGGTCTCGCTATTGCCGCGTCCCTCTTTGGGCGCCTTCTTTCGCGGGGGGTGTTGGGCGCGGCGGCCCGAAACGCAGCTCTCCCCCTTCGTGAGGGAACTCCCCTTCCCGCAAAATAAGTGGGAGGCCACCGCGTCGTCGTTGCCGGCGCGCCCCCTCCGCCGGCCTCTTGGGTCTCTTTCGCTTGGGCCGGGGGAAGGTCGCAGCGGTCGAAGTGGCGGTAAAAGAAAAAGGTGGCAAGAGTGTAAAAAAAAAAAACAAAAAAACAAAGAAGCACGAGACCGCCGCCTGCGCGCCTTCTCTTTTCGCATGCAAAAGGGGTGGGGAATTTTTTTTTTATTTCCATTTTTTCATTTTGACCTCTTCGCTTGCGGGCGGCGGGATTCCGCAGACCCCCTCACGCTTTCCCCATCGCGGCCGCAGGTCTCTGGCACTTCTCTTGCCGCCGCCCCCCGCCCCTCGCCTCACGCCCGGCCAGCCGTTTTCGCCGAATTGGAGGCCGGCGGCGGTGTGGGCTGCGGCGCGGCGGCGGCCTCGCGGGGGGAAGGGGGAGTTGCCGCGTGTTGGCCCTCAACCTGCCGCTCCTCCCCGGCGTGGGCCGACGCCTGGCGGAACTGCTTGAAGGAGCTGCGCAACATGCGGCGCTCCGCGCCCGTCAGCTGCGGGGCATGGCCGTTGCCGTCGTCGCTCAGCAGCTGCGTGGCCTCCGCCATCGCGAGGCGCAGCGCCCGCGCCTGCCTCGCCGCGTTTGCGTGCGGCCGGCCCGCGGTGAGGACGAAGCAGCAGCGCACGAGCACCGCGGGGCCGCGTTCGCCGCCGTCACGCAGCACCGGCGCCGCCTCCACCACGCCGTGCAGTATCTCCTCCATCCGCGTGCTCGCCGGCACCCCCTGCTGCAGAAGGAGGGTGGCCAGCATGACGACCGCCAAACGAAACGACGCGAACTCCGGCGAGGCGGGCGAGGGAAGACGCTGCGACTTCGCCAGCGAGTTCTGCAGCGCGCGCAGGCACTCCGCCACCGTCGCCCGCAAACTCAGCGGGGCGCCCTCCAACAGGGCGCAGACACCGGCCAGCAGCCCCCACGTCGCACCTGACGTCAGCACAAAGACAAAGCGACCAATGCAGCGAACCGCCTCGACAAACAGCAACGAGGCCCCCTCCACGTGCAGGCTCGCCTCTGCTATACAAATAACTTGCCCCATACTCGCCGCATCCGCGACAACGGCTCGCCTCAGGACATTCTGAACGGGAAGCGCAAAGCGAAGAATTGCCTCTGTGCCACAAGCGCTTGAAACGGCGTAAAAGACGCCGGCCGCCTGCTCTAACGTCATGGCTTGCACGTCGTTTAGCAAGCGGCTGTGGCAAAGCACCTGGGTTGTCACCAGGCGACTGAGTTGCCTGTGAACGGGTGGTGCGGAATCCACGTGTTCGGCAGAGGCCGGCACCGTGGTCCGCTTCCAAAAACGCACGCGTCCTGAAGAACCCAGTTGCGAGGAGCTTCGAACGGTTTCGTAGTGGCGCAGACGCCGCACCACCGCACACATTCCTTGCAACTCTGCGGAACTCCACGTGAGCGGAACGCCAGCCTCCACAGTGTCAGCCAAAAAATCCGTCGCGCCACGAACAAGCTGCAGACATCGGTCCTTTAGCAGCACGGGGTCGGCTTTTAATAGACCTGGCGCTGGCGCCTCCGTCGAGAGCTCCACGGCGATCACGGCGGCGAAGAACTGAATAAGCAGGCAGCAGACAGAGTTGGATTTGGTGAAGAGCGCCCACCGCTGTTCCACCATGGCCACCAGGCCGGCAAGGTCGTCCCACGTCATCAGGGCATCGCCGCCGAGTTCGTCGCAGCAGGCCTCCATCACACGAGAAAGCGCCTCAATCTGCTGGGACGCGGCATCTCTGCCCCTCACACCGTTTAGCGCGTCGGTGAAGAGCCGCAGCGTGGTACGGGTGAGCTGGGGGGAAAACTTGTGCCGCACCGCGTTGGCGAGAATCAGGCTAAGATCGTCAAGGCTCAGCTGCAGCCGCGCCCGGGGCTGCCTGACGTCTTGCAGCAGCCGTTGGCTCAAAAGCTCCCGCAGCTGCGGCGAGGAAACCGCGGCGGCCCTCGCCGCCTCCCCGGGCGCCACCGCCACCGCGCGAGTTCCCCCACACGGGCGCGGAACCTCCGCCTGCCCCTGACACGCACCGGGCGCCGGGCAGGCGAGAACGCCGACGAAGTGCGCCTCCAGCGAGCGCGCGGGATTTCGCCGGGAGCTGGAGTGGATGCGCCGGATGAGCACGTCGAACGGCAGCGAGGCGATGTGCTCCTGCAGCGCGGTCCACGGGGAAGGGGACGCCTTCATCTCTGCTTCAACCGCGCGCCTTGGCACCCCACACCACGCATGTATCGGTTTGCTCTACGCCGCCGCCTGCTACCCCAGAAAAAACCCGCCTTGCTTGCTCCTCCTGGCAGAAACGAAAAAAAAAGTTAACAAATAAAAGAATAAGGATAAACTAGAGTCTCAAGAGAGATCAAGCAATCAGAGAGACGTTTTCCCCTCCCGCCTTTTGTGGGAACAACTCCGCCGTAGTAGAGGTGGGTGGAAACGAATCGAGAAGGCACTCCTTTTCCTTAACTTTTTTTTTCCCTTTCCGCTTCGCACCGCTGAGCTTTAGGCGGGCCGCGTGACATCTTCGTCGTCCTCTTCTGCCCTCTCCACCTGCGGCTCTCCGCCAGCGTCCGCTTCCTCGGTCGCCCGCAGCGCGCTCGCGTTCTCCGCGGTGCCGGCAGCTGCGGCCAGCGGTAGGCCGTGCGACGGCTCCCCGCAGCCCTGCTCCTCCCCCTCCACATGCTCTTCCTCCGCCTCGGCAGTGGCGGCGGCCTGCGGGGAGGACATTGCCAGGAGCCGATTGACCGCATCCAGCACCTGGTGGTGCGAGCCACGCGACTCTTCCGCCGCCGCCGCCGCCGCCGCCGCTGTCGTTGTTGAGGAGGCGGGGGAGGCCGGGGGAGCCACCAGTGAGCGCTCTATTCTCGCCAGCAGCTCCTTTTCAGCGCCCAGTTGCGCCTGCAGGTGTTGCCGCTCCTCCAACAGCGCCGTCGTGCGCTTCTTCCAGAGGGCGTCTGCGCTCTGCTGCGCGGCGGTGATGCGCTGCGCGAGGCCCTCGCCCAACGCCTGACAGGCCTGCGTGAACGTCGCCTGCGTCTCCTGCAGCCGCGCCTCCTGCTGCTTGAGCGACTCCGTCAGGTGACGCAGGTGCGCCGTCTCCTGCAGGGCGCGGGTGCGCTGCTGCTGCTCCACCGCCTGAAGGATGTAGCCGCACATGCGCCGCACCGCCGCCACCACATCCTGAACCTCTTCCCCGCGTGCGCTCCAGGCCTCGGCGTTGCGGCGTGTGAGCTCCACGAGCTCCGCACGCTCCGTGGCCAGCATGGAATTCAGGGAGGCCGCAAAGCTCATTTCGGCACGAAGCAGCTCCAGCAATCCGGTCAGCGCCGTGGAGAGCTTTTGCGAAAATGCGACCGAGGCCTCGTAGGACGCACGCATCTGTTGATTCTCAGTCCGCAGCGCCGCCGTGGAGTGCATCAGCGCCGCATTACTGTTGAGCAGCTCGGACATGGCAGCCTCACGTGCGGCAAGCGTGGAGCGCATTTCGGCCTGCATTGCCTCAAGCTGCCGCCTCGCATCATCGCGCTCCCCGCTGGCGTCCGACAGCTGCTGCTGGCACGCCTCGAGCTGCCGCTCACACTCCTCCATGCGCTGCTGCATGCTGAGAAAAGTCGCCTGCCGCCGCCTCCCACCCTCTGTGTGGGCGCTGGCTTCCTCGCCTAGCCCCGTCAACACGTCGAGCGCCTGCATCTCCGCTGCTTGCACCGTCTGTGCGACAAAGCCGCCGTCACCGGCGCCAGTCGTCGTCATCGTCGTCGTCGTAGTGGTGGTGGTAGTCGCAGTGGACGTCTTTGCCCCCTCAGCCGCCAGCAAGGCTTCGCGTGTGGCGAGTGCCGTGATCCGTTCCTCGTGCAACGCAATGTAGCGGTGCAGTTTCTCCCGCTGCTTAACAAGCTGCGCCACCTCGTTCTTGAGCTCCTGCGACTGCCGCATTGCCTGCTGAATGGCCTGCGGGTCCGCCACCACACTTAGGCTCGCCGCGGCCGCCTTTACGGCGGCGTCGCGGATCGCCGTGCTGCACTGCCGCAGCTCCTCCTCCTGCATGTGGTGGGAGATGGCGGCGGCGAGGCTGCCACGCAAGTAGTCGCGCTCCACCTCAAGCCCCACGCTCTGCGCCCGCAGCGCCTGGTTTTCCTCCCGCACGCGCCCAATCTCGTCGGCAAGGGTGACGAGCCTGCGCGTCACGGTGGCGCGGGTGCGCTCCAGCTGCGTCAGCCGCTCCTGCGTGCCGCGCAGCAGGCGCTCCTTCTCCCGCAGCTGCTGCAGCTCCGCGCGCCCCTCGAACCAAAACGTGATGAACTCGCGGCGGACGGAGTTGGGGTCGTCGCCGACTTCCGCCTCGAGACGCCGCCGCTTCGTCGCCAGCGCCTCATCGGGCGAGGCGTGTCTCGTGCGCAGCGCCGCAACGGTGGCCTCCAGCTGCGCCACGGTCGCTTTGTGCGCCTCCGCCTCCGCCGCCTCGCGCGCCTCCAGCGCCGTCACGCGCGCGCGGAGCTCGCGGACGGTGGATTCCCGCAGCGCCACCTCGTCCGCCAGCTGCTCCTCGCGCAGCGCCTGCCGCAGCCCGCCGCGCCCCTGCGCCTCCTCCATCTGCAGGCGGAAGAGCTCCCGCTCGGCCTCCACCTGGCGCAGCCGCGTCCGCGCCTCCCCCAGCTGCTCAAGCAGGTGCGGCAGCTGCAGGGCGCCGTGCAGGCCGTCCGCGACGATTCTGTTGGTCTCCGCGACCGACGCCTCACCCCGCCGCCGCAGCTCCTCGAGCTGCTGCCGCAGCAGGGCCTCCGACTCACGCAGGTGGCGCAGCTCCGCCAGGAGCGACGGCGGCTGCTCGCCCGTCGCGGTGGCCGCCGCCACTTCCTCCTCCAGCTGCAGCACCCGTTGCCGCAGCGTGTCCCGCTCAGCCGCCAGCGCCTCCACCTTGCCGTTCAGCTCCACCACCGACCGCGTCTGCATCTCGCTCATCTGCCGCAGCAGCCCCTCGTTCTGCTCGCCCAGCACCTGCAGCGTCTCCACAAGGGCGGAGACGCGGCGCGTCTCGCCCTCGCCCTCGCCCGCGTCCGCCTCCTCCGCGTGGCTCCCCAGCACAACGGCCCGCGACATGGCGTCCTCCAGCGTCCGTCGCGCGTCGTCGAAGAAGCGCCGTAGTTGCTCCTGCAGCACCTCCTGCAGCACCCGCTCCCCCTCGGGGACGCCAACCCGCGCCTTGAGGCGGGCATTCTCCGCCAGCAGCTGCGGAAGCAGCAGCCCTGCGGTCTCCGCAACCTCAGCCATGCGTGTCGCCTCTACCTACGCGTATGCCGCAATGCTGAGGCCAAGGAAGAAAAGGCAAACAAAAAGCAAAAAAAAAAGCAGAAGCGAAGGGTCGCTACAGTGGGGAGACAGGGTAGAGAGACAAGAACACGGCGAGGCCACCCCACGCCACACTCTCTCACACACGCAGGTGCGCATCGTCGTTTCTCAGTTCCCAGCGAGATCCCCGTCGTGCTTAGGCGCGGCGCCAAGCAAACGAGAGGTGAGGAGAAACAAACAGAGCTGTGAGGAAAAGCATAGAGAAAAGCCCATTGACCTCAGCGGTACGAGCGTGCCTCCCGCGGGCCTGCCAGGGGGGAAGCGTCGCCCAGCCGGAACGTGACGGGGCTGCCGGGAAGCCGAGAGAATGTCATTGAGGGCGGCTAGAGAACTGTGAGAATTCAAACAAAAAATAGTGACGCGAAAGAAGCAACCCCCAGCGGCACGCACACACTCCCAAACCAAACTGGAAAGAAGAAAAAGAAAGACCAGCCGCAGAAGGAGGGCTGGGGGTCTCCCCTACTCAGTGCCGCGTGGGAACTTCACCGCGTGCGGATTCATTTTTTGAGCCGAGATGGACACTGACCCAACAGCGCGACGACACTGTTGGAAGGGAGACTGTGAAACTTGCGCTTAGAGGAGCTGCTGCCACTGCAGATGGCGCCATCTGCTGCTGCTGTTGCTGTGCCCAGGTGTTGTTGCTGCCGCCGCCGCAAGATGAAATGCTGCCGCCGTTGTTGCTGTCGGAGTCGCCGCTGGGCGCGGTATCGCATGCCGGGTCCCATTTCCGCCGGCGGCGGCGCACGCGGCTGCACCGGAGGGGGGAGACGGGGTCTAAAGTACGAGGCCATGCGGGCTGGCACAATCTTCGCGATTAAACTGCGCCTCAAGGAGGCGGCTCGGCGGGTGAGGCGGCAGAGAGAGAGAGAGGAGGGAACAGCATCCAAGCCAACGGGGGAAGCGTCAAGAAGGCAGCAGGAGTCGCCAAGCACAGCCGCTCCTCCTCTTGTCTACTCCCACTCACTCGGGGGCACACACACACACACACAAGCACACGTAGATATATATAAATATATATCAAGTAGAGCCACTTCGCTTTCATCCCTCGCCAGGGCAGGCGGCGCTCTCAGTCGTTACGCCCCGCATCGGAGGCCATGAGACCGCCGGTGCGATGCATGGGTGGGGCGTACCGCGGCGGGCGCTGGTAGACTGGCTCCGGCAGCTCCCCCGAGCGCAGCTGCGCCTCCAGCGGCGCCCCGCTGTCGCCGTGGCGGCGGTGGCCGTTTTGGAAGAGGCGGCTGTTCTTCGCAATGTTGCGCGAGTGGTAGGTGAAGGACGCCGCGCGGTGGCCATCGCTGTCGGCGTAGCCGCCTGCGCTCATCGTCCCGCGGGCGAAGCGGGCGACGAGGCAAACGCTGCGCATCGTGACGCCCAGCTTCCGCGGCTCCGTCCACTCCACCGGAAACGGGTTCAGACCGGCCTCGCCGACGCGCTCCATGGAGGCGGGGTAGTCCTGATCCACCAGCACGTCGTACACCGCGTTGACGCCGCAGAGGTGGGAGAGGAAGCTGCACCCCGGCTCCACCCGCAGTATCTGCCACGGAATCTTTGCAATGCCGCGCGCCGCCGCCTCCGCCGCGTTGCGGCCGTGCACCGTGTCCTGCACGATCAGCGTGCGTTTGCCGGCAAAGGCCATGAAGTCGGCAAGTGGTGGGGCATCCGCGGCGACTTCGATTGGCACCACATTCAGCGCCCGCTGCTGCGCGGCGGCGGCCTCACTCGGCGCCCCACCGCCCGTGAGCGCCATCATGGAAAGCTTGTTCGTGCGGGCCGTGCCGTAGGCCATGAGGATGCCGTGCGAGGTGGACACAAAGTCCCCACCACTCGCGACACCGCCCTTCACGTCCTGCAAAATGTGGTTGAAGTCGCCCGTCGCTCCACAGGCCCGCAGGTACCGCAGCGTCTCGCTGACTTCGGAGCTGCGGTGCTCCCTGCCGTATTTGGGCATCGGCAGCACCATGTCGTAGTGCTGAAAGATAACATCCGCGGTGAAGAGGCAGTCGTAGTACGGGCAGGTGCGCATCTCATGTATTTGCTCCACCAGCTGCGTCTGCCGCAGCGCGGCAAAGAGGTCCTTCACCTGGCGAACAAAGAGCTCCGCGTCGACCTCCTCGCCGCTTGGGCTGTGCGTCGGGACCGTGTGCAGCGGAGGAACCCGGTACAGGGCGTTAACGTACCGCCGCGTGGCGGTGAAGAGGGGCGCGGAGACGCGCCGCAGCGCCGGCGCCTGCTGCTGCTGCTGCCGCGCGACGAGGCGCACGGCGGCGGAGACCGCCACCCGCGAGGAGCACATCCCTGCGAGGCACAAGACAGCGGGGGAGGGAGCACAACGGGGGTACGCGCAGGGGGGCGGGGGGCGTTTTTGCGCTGCATCGCCGCCGCAGCCACGCACCGCACATGTCAAGAGGCCCAAATCCGTGCGGAATGAAAAA